AAGCCATGAAGCATTCTTGTTGCTACTGTGCTTTCATGCAGGGGGTAATGTTTCTTAATCTGCATTACTGTAACTGTAGTAAAAGCATTAGGTGTGGTGATTATGTTGAACAATAGTTTAAACTTGATTTTATTACAGTAATTTATCCTGCCTTCCCACATGAAATGCGTGTTGAACATTCATAGCCAACTAATTTGTGTACAGATTAGTTCCATGTGCATTCCCAGCTTTTAAGGGCGTCATGCCATTTAACTATAGACTGTACACTACGCAGGTAGTGTTGGTTTATCAGAATATCAGCACTGTTCATTGCTTATTCAGTACTGTGTAGTCATACAGTGCATGATGAATCGGTAGACACAAATTCACATAATGAAAGTCCTTACACACACTTTTCTTCTTTTAATGTCTGCATATCACATAGCACACAAATGGTAGATTTTCCACTTTCTCCATTTTAAAGAGGACTGTGTATTTTTCAATTGCAAGCTATCTTCTCCATCTTTCCCCCTGCTCTGGCCTCATGCATATTGTGGGCAAAGTGGGTAGGAAAAACTTTTTTCTCTCATGCATAATGCCAGAACCCAAAAGAATTTGCAGGATGGAAGATTCAGGGCAGAGAAGGGGAAGTTCTTCACATGGCCAGTGCATTGTCAAACTCAGGAATTCCCTGCCACTGATATGCTGATGGCACCAACTTGGACCACTTTAGTTTGTGACTAGGCGAGTTCTGGCTAACTAGAGCTACTAATCAAGATTTCTATCCCCTCCTTCCAGTGTTGGAGGTAAAATGTTTTTCAGTACCAGATACTGGGGAATGTGAGCAAGGGGGTGTTGCTTGTGGACTTCCTGACCAATATACAAATGGGGTGTTGGACTAGATAGGCCTCTGACCTGCTCCAGCATGGCACTGCTTATGTTTCATTGTACTGAATTTCATAGGCCTCCCAACTTGGTGAATGGCTCCGTGTGTGTTTATGTTGTACAACAATATGTGGTCAGAGCAACCTTCTGAGTTAGAGTAAAACTCTTAAAGACAACCCACCTTGAAACCCTTCCCTTCTACTTTCAAATATCCTTTAATGTTGCTAAAGCGTTACTCTTCCACCCAGTCTTCCTCTCTGTCACAGAGTATTCAGAAAGGGGCAGAATACATATCACAGTTGTCACATGAACCCAGTATGAAAACAACCTTGTCAGGAGTGCAAAGATCCAGACACTGGTAATTACTGCCATAAACAAAACAATACCACCTCAAAAAAATAAATAAAATGAGGCTCAAAGACCTGTGTTTGGTTTCTTAAGGAGGTGAGAAAGCAGTTTTCTTTTCCCTTCTTACATGTTTGTTTTTGTTTGTTGCCTTTTAAAGAAAAATACTTCTCAGTCCAAAAACTGCACTTTCATGCAGCTAGTTACATTCTTCAGTATAATCAGTACCATCACCATCTTTAGTTCCTTCTGTTTCTGTAACACTTAAAGGTATTTACTCCTACTTCACTTATTAGGAGTTTGAGTGTCATTTTTAACACTTTACAGCCTATTTTAAATTGTAGTTTTACTGTCTTTCCAAACAATATTATTATTAATTTGCCAACACTTCTAAATTTCATGTTGTGAGCCGCCCCGAGGCTTTGGCGAATGGGGTGGCATAGAAATGTTTTAATAAATAAATAAATAAATAAATAAATAAAATTATGCTATCTTCTTTCCAAAGGCAGAACTAATTAATCAGTTCTTTTATTTATCTAGGCATGATTATTGCTGTGCTCTCTTTGTTGGTGAGTTTTTCTCCACTGCTGTGCCCATCATCCCCAGTCAACAGGACCATGTTGCAATGAGAATGCTGGCCTAGCATCTCTGCAGGGTATCAGATTAGGAAAGGCTGTGTTTATCCCATCTAAACCCACTATTATATACGCGCTTTACTCTTGAAACATGCTTCATTGTTTTTGCCTCTACAGTGAACAACTTCCCTCTCTTCTTGCACTGGCTTCCTTTCTTGTAATGTATTCATTTTAAAAATCTGCATCTTATTTCTAAACGGATATACTTTATTGTTCCTGTTCTGTGTTTCTTCTTTAATTTATCTTTATACTCATTCTTAGAGCTCTGCATCCTTCCAATTCCAATCTCTAGCTTGGACCAGTGATTGCATCTGTTGTCTCATACCTCCATCCATTTTCTTTGGCAGCACCTTATCTTTTCAGCTTTTTGCCACCTGATACTGGTATAAGTCAGTCCATCCTACTCTTTAAGAAGCATCAAGACATATCTACTTTCTAATTCATTGAGATTTTAACAGAGCAAACTAGATATGAGGTTAAGTGTGTCTCTTGCATCTAACTGGCAGGTTTTTAAAAATTCAAATTGCATCAGCTGTGCAGTATGTGTGCAATAATTATCAGGATCACAGCAGGAATGATTAAGCATAGCTAGGCTGAATCAGTCTTGAAAGCCTAAATCCGGTTCACATTCTGTTCAAGCAGTAGCTGACCTGTTGCCCGTGGAAAGTCCACAAGCAGGGAGGGCATGGGTGCAACTTGGTGGCCTCCTCCTCCATGAATTGGTCTAATCCTCTTAATGCCATATAGCTTGCCGTAACACATTCCTCTGTGTACCTGTGTTCTGTGTTGTCTTGTATTGGTTCTGAATCTTCCACCATTCACAGGGTTGATTCTGAGTTCTGGTGAGAAAAGGGCAGGAAGTCTCCCTATTCGCTTGGTCTACACAATGCATCATTTTGTATGCCCCTTTCATGCCTCCTCATACTCACCCTTTTTTTTAAGTTAAATAGTCCGGGACATTATAACCCTTTCTAATGAGGAAGCTCTGCAGTTCAGTGATCATTTTGGTTGCCCTTTTCGGCAGCTTTTCCAACTCTACTATAGCCTGTTCTGAAATGTGGTGAGCAGAACCACGCATGGTATTCCAAGTGTGGTCGTACCTGTATAGGGGTGGTTTTATTTTTTTATTATTGTTCTTATTATGATTAACATGGAATTTACCTTTTCACAGCCACCACACACTGGGAGGACATTTTCATTGTGCTGATTGAACTTTTTTGCCTAGTGCGCATCACTTTACATATGTTTGCACTGAACTGCACTTGCCTTTTTGTTACCTGCTCTCCTAATTTGAAGAAATCTGTTCGGAGCACTTTGCGATCTCTTTTAGTTTTTAACACCTTAAATAATTTGGTTTTATCAGCATACTTGGCTATCTCACTGCTGATTCCTAATTCCAGATCACCTATGAGCCACTTCTCAATATAGATCCTGGGACCCCAGTATTAGGTATGGGACCCCAGTATTAGTGTCCCTCCATTGCAAGAATGGACTGTTTATCCCTAATTCCTGCTTCAAGTTCCAATCCATAAGGGGACCACTCATGAAAAGTGAAATGCCTTTTGGAAGTCCAGGTAAATAGTGGATCATATCCTTAACTCTTGCTTCCCCTGCTGGTGTCCCAAAGGACATCCTTCTATAAAGGAAAATCCCCCTCCAGGATTACTGAGCTTTGGTCCCGGTAATTTTTCCTCTGCTGTAGAAGTGAGGCTCCTCAGGGTCATGGGCCTGATACTGGGGTCCCTGTCCTGCTTTCTGAGATTCTGAAGATGTCTGTGGTTCCTTCACCTGACCCTGTCCTTTTTGTGCCAGTTGCCCACTTATTGTTTGTCTGTTTTTCTTGGCCTCTGCAGGATTTTTTCCTGTGCCTCTCCTGAGTCTTAGTTACTGGCCATGAGGGCTTTTAGCTAAAATATCCTGGTATTATTTGTACTTTTTGCCCTGCTGACAAACTGGAAAGAGCCTCCTGAGAGTTTCTCTGAAATTGAATTTGTCCCTTAGACCAAAAGATGTTCCCCACTCTTATTGTCCTTTTCCTCATGTGTTTGTTTATTTCAGTGGTAATTTTCTTATGGCTAACAAATGGAAGTGCTTAAGAATATATGATAACAATCTATTTTGAGGCAAATAGCAGTGCAAATGGCCCAAGTTTGGCTCAGTGATTTCACTGTAGGCCAGGTTGAGTCAGCTGAGAAGTAGATTGACGATACATAAATCAAAGCTTGGTAAAACTTGGAGATGCCGAGGCATGTGGTGATAGGATATAAAAGTTCTAAATAAATAAAAGGAATCAGAAGATGCACTTGGGTACGGTTGGGCAAGCATCCTGTTTTGATCTGGAGACTGGCTTGCTATCCTTGCACCAGGCTGACAATCCAGAGGACATCTTGGGAGCTCCAGCTGCCATGACATACTTAGGTATGCCCACCTACCTTTTCCTCTCCATGAAGAGAGAGGTGTGGAGCTCTCAACTGGTGCTTACAGCTCTTCCACAAGACAGATCGCGTGAGTTCCAACTGCCTTGGTTGCTTCCTTCCCGCTCCACTCGTGTAGGAATCTCCTTGTTATTGCCGATCACATGGATGCAAGGGAAGAAGCAGAAGGGCAAATCCTGCTGTGTGTACAGCACTCTACTCACATAATGCTGGATGTCACCCTCTAGGAATATCTGATATGTAATCCTATTCATTTAAAAGAGCAGCAGCCACAAAATGGGTCATTAAAACCACTTGTGCTCCCTACCATCCAGTTGCAAGCATTTATGTTAGCAGATCCTTTAGTGCACTTGTACTTGTGTGAAGGGGCAGATTAGAGAGTAATATATTGTGGCATGTCTACAGAAGTAAACCAGAGCTGATAAATCTACTATAATGGTAAGAGGTGAGATATGACACATGTTAATATATAATAGGCATGGTGTGGTGCTAATACTGAAACATGGTTGTGAAGCTGGTGTACCTTGTTTCCTCATCTGTCTAAGGTGTTTTGTGGCATCAGAAGAGCAATGGTTGATTTGTGAGTTAGTTTTTTAAGTTACAGATGGGGTGGAATGCTTATAGATCCAAGCAGAGATAATACTGGCATAAAACAATGCTTAATGTTCACGTTGCTGTCTTTAAATTCTGAATTAATCAATTCTTTGTTTTCCTTCTGCAGCTGCAGAGCCTTGGCCTCAAAATGCTGCATTGTATCAGCCATTGAAAGGTGAGTACTTTTTATTTTCTGCAGTTAGCTGTGTTCCTGCCATTAAATATGCAGCATTGTAATTAACTGGAGCCTGGTGGGTGCGGAGGGTGAGGGAGACCTTGTTAAAAAGAGAATCCTTTGTGGTGTTTGTCTGGTCAGAGGTGTTTTGGGTTTTATTTTTATTTTTGCTAAACATGTGTCTGCCAATAAAAACCAGCTATTCATGGCCTATAAGGTCCTTGGTTTATTATTGACTCATTATATTGGCTGCTGTAGGCAGTGTAAAATGATGTGGTTTGCAGGCCCAGTTGGCAGATTTACTGCGCCAATAGCTGAGGCAGCAGATTTTTGAAGTCTTGTGGTAAAGTGGGCTCTCGGTAAAAAGGAACTGTTAAAATGTATAGGCTAGGATGGTTCAGGCTCCCTTTAGCAGCTCTTCATATATCATCAGATCACATTATGGCCCCCATTTGGGGCTCAGCAGCCTGCTACAGTTGTCAGAAGACTGCAAAGTAATGAAGACTAATAGGTAGCAGCCCTAGTCTTCTAAGCATGGAATTTTTATTGCTGTGTACTTGTCATCTTTCTTTTGTGTGACAGACCTAGACACAGTGTACAATATTAACTGGAAGCTGGTTTTTTATAGGTTTCTGAATGCTTTTACTTTTTAGCAAGAGGAATTATGAAGTTGTTGTGTTTCTGCTTTGTTTTTACTAGGAAATGAATAATTACCCTTTTATTTATATAAAAGAAAACAAAGAAAAAGCACGAGAGATATTTTTGTTAGGAACGTATAGCGGTTGGGACAATAAATTGTAGGGCACATTCAGGAGAAATATTTCTGGGACGTAAGGCTACAGGCTTTTAAGAACGGCATGAATATAATAGGACCTGTGACTCGTGGCAAAGCAGTCTCCTTAGGTTTGTAAGAACTTGTTTTTGCATCCCAGATGATCTGCAGTTATTGTTAGAGGAAAAACACTCACTGTGTCTAATCATTATACTGTGCACTGTTTATTTTTATTTTACAGAGGAACAAATTTTGCTTTCTGATAATGCCGCCTGTCTTGCTGTTCAGGTAAAACATTTTCCTGCTTGCTGTGCTGCAATGAAATGGAGTTTTGTACCTTTGTGTGTTTCCAGTTGGCTGGTATTCCTGTTAGTTGTACTGCAGCAATGGCCATGTCTGAAACTGGCTCTCCAGTGACTTGATACAAATGTGAAAGCAACATATTTCTCAGATGTTTTCTGCACCTTTAATTTGTCAGTGGCTTGCAGGTCAGGGGGCATTAATAATCCACAATAAAGGGTAGTTCTTTAGAGAGGTGTGGCTGTCTCATATTACCTATGACTAAAGATGGGGGAGGATTTTGTTTGGCTTGCATATGTAAATACCTACCATATATATACTGACCATGTATATTGGGGAAGGGAAATGCATATATAAGTAAAAGCATGCACAAAACAGCATTGCATCAAGAAAAACTGTTTGCAAAAATGCATAATATTTAAGAAATGTGTACAAACATGCACACGCTTGGTTTTTTTTTTTAAGCATCTCAAATTGATGAGGAAATGGACAGAACAAACTTAAAATAGGAAAAATGAAAAACAAAAATGGATAAGATTTGTCCATCCTTACTTTGACACCCTGCTGGCTCTTTCTTAAATTCAGAAACTTACAAGCATAACAGTGTGTTTGTGTATATTGATATATACCAGTCTTCTTAAGATGGGAGCTGAAGTCCAAAAAGCTAAGTGGAACAAGATTGGGGAAGGGTGAAACATGCATATATATCCACACCTTCCAGATGTGTTAAGTGGAAATTTTCTACTATTATATTTTGCAGCTGCTCCCCCAATTTTGTGCAAGTGCAATCACAGCAGAACTGTTACAAGGTTACACCATTTATTCTTGGTACATGTTAATCTACAATTAACCCATTTACTGCAGTTAAAGTTGATTAGAATGCTTCCATGGTCCATGTATTGAAAAAGTGTGGAGAAGTCTCTCTCAACAAACCAATTAACCAGATTTTATTAAGATGTATTTGAAATACACAATCCTTTGGTGATGCCCATAAGCTTGCAAACTCGGCATCCTGTGCAGGGCAGGGGCAGGGGCAGGGGCAAACTGCTTCTGCATTCACCTGCCCTGCATTTTTTGCTAGATAGGCTTTTGTTTGTTTGTTTTTTAACCCATCTAGCTAGAGCATCTCAGAGGGGGGCAGGAAAGAGACTGGAATGGCTGCACAGTGGTTGCTCTTGTGGTTGCTCTTGTGTTCCTGCCCTCTCCAGGATTGCTTTCCCATCCTTGGACAGAGGTGCTACACGGATTATAAGGCAGAGAGGAGTCAGAGCTTTGATTTCCTGCCCCAAGGCCAGAGTGTTCTCTGGGAATCTGAAGTATCCTTTGGCCCCTGCAAAGGCCACATTGGGGTCCTCGCAAAAGGAAGAAAAGAAGGAAGTAAACATTGTGTGACAGTAACAACGATGTAGGCCAGTGGTAGGACAGAACCACAGGCAGCATGGCGTCCTGCTGCAGCTCTCCTGAATCTGGCCTGAAGGCTTGGGAGCGCACAAGGGAAGAAAAGCGAGGAACGTTCCCTTGCGTGAGCAGGAGTCTGCTCAAGTGATGTTGGATGGCACCCACTGTGCATTTTGTTGTATAATCTTTTTAAGCAATCTCTTGACAGAGAACCTGATGGCACTGTTTCCAAACCTACATCTCTCTACCTATATCAACTTTGCAGGAGTCTTTAATCATCAGCAAGCAGCAAGCTTTAAAAGCAAGCTTTAAAAGAAGTTTTCTTTTTCTAGAGGAAAAATTTCTTTATTTCAATTCTGTTGTTTCAATTCTATTATTTCAGTCCTGTTGTTCTACACATGTCACTTAGATGATAAATTAACCATAATATATTAAAAAGCTTCTTTTTCCTCAATATTCTTGGGCCTGACAGCTGATAGTAGCCATGACTATAAATATGACTGCAACAGATATCTGATTTCAAACTCTATGGAACAATTTTCTTTGATGTAAGGTGATGGTATCATAAGAATCTGTAATATGGAATTCACTAGTTATTTCTTTTAAAAATATTTTCTAAATAATACCGTATTTTTTGCTCTATAAGACACACTTTTTCCCCCCTCTAAGGGGAAATGTCTGTGCATCTTACAGAGCGAATGTGTGTGTGCCCGACACCCGGGACGCTGCTGGCCCGCCTGCACCACGTGGCACCACCTGGCCAGCACGAGCTCGGCGCACGCTGCTCCGTCCCCACCCCCCACCGCCTTCCAGCTCAGGTGAGAGCTGTGCCGCTCAGGGGGAGCAGTGTGGAGGAGGAGCCGCGGGCTTTAACCCGCCGGCCGCACGGAGAGATGGACTGCTCACCCCCACTGCCCGGGAAGACCTGCCGCCGCCACGTCACCCGGAAGACCACCGCCAGCACGCTGCCGGCCCGGCTGCACCACACCTGGCCGGCACGCGCTCGGCATGCCCTGCTCCACCCCCCCTCCTCCGGCGCAGGTGAGAGAGCTGTTAATCACAGGTCGGTGTGTGTTTTCAAATGGCAACCTGTCTTTTAATGAAGCCCATGGGGAAGTCATGGGGAATGTGCCTGTGATTATCAGGAAGCTTTCCATGGATCCCTCCTCTAAAAACTAGGTGCGTCTTATAGAGCGAAAAATACGGTACATTACTCCAGTGTGTGTAAAGTTAATATCCTAGTTGTATTGAAGCAGTACCTAATAAAATGCCAATCCTGTGCTCTTTTCTGATGAAGCAGTCTTCATCGTGCTTTATATGGTCATCCATGGTCTGGTACCATCTACTTAGACTACTTGGTTAGGCTAATATGCTGTACTTGGGCTGTCCCAAAAAGTTTTCAAAGCTGCAGCTGGTTTAAAATTCAGCTGTTGGGATTGCAGTTGGGATTGCTGACTGGGAACAGACCTAACCGTTCTTGAGAGATTTGTATCTCATAACTGATTTCTTTTCAAGCTTAATTCAAGATGCTGGTTTTGACCTTTAAGAGTCAAAACCTTAAGAGAGCCAGTGTGGTGTAGTGGTTAAGAGCATGGGACTGGGACTCAGAGGATCTGGGTTCTAGTCCCCGCTCAGCCATGGAGCCAACTGGGTGACTTTGGGCCAGTCGCAGACTCTCAGCCCAACCTATCTCACAGGGTTGTTGTTGTAGGGATAAGATGGAGGAGGAGAATGATGCAAGCTGCCTTGAGCCCTTTGAGGGAAAAGGCAGGATATAAATCGAAAAACAAACAAATAAGAGTGCAGTGCTATGCATGTTTAGACAGAATAGTATAGTGTGGCTGGCGGGGAAATGCTGGGACTTGTAGGACTTTTTTCCCTGTCTGAACATGCATTGTATGGTGCCTTAAACCCCTTTGTGACTTTTGGACTAACCCAGACCACCTGCACTTGCATCGACCTGCCCAAATATTAAGACCTTCCATTGAAACGCGAGTCAATTGAAACTCGAAACCCCCAGCATCAAAGACAAGTTGGTGGATGACAACAAAGAAGAAGTAGACTTTGTAAATTTGTGACTTCACAGTTATGGAATATCTTGCCCCAAGAACTTCCCCAGGCTCATCTACTATTCTACTATGTTTTTGGCTCCTGTTTGGAAAACTATTTTTTAATTATATTTTTTTCATATTTTACTTTTAAGCTCTGTTGTGATAGACACTTTTACTTAGTTGTTTGATCACTGATTTTTATTTTTATTGTACATTTTAATAATAGCTACTAGTATGTTTTAAAAGTATCCGGTATACTGTGAGATAAGATTTCAATAAGGCTGGTATACAAATATTTAAATAAAGAATAAAATAGGCGTTATTGTTGACCATATCTTTATGCTAGAGAACATGCATTAGGATAAACACACCTGTTTGAAGGGTTTCTATTCCTCAGTAACAATAGAAGAGGACTTTGCCTGTTTGTTCCCCATCCTTCCACCTCCCCGCAACTTTTAACCAAACACACTTTGAATCAGTAGGAATGATGTGGGTGTTTCTTTCTTTGTTTTAGTTCTATTGGGTCCTTTGGTCCTATGCGATGACACTAGCAGTGGTGGTGATAAATTGGTTTTCAGATGCATCCAACCTTTTGAGAAATCTTTTCTTCTCCTACGATGCGATATAGCACTTCTGTGGAAATGTACAATTAACCCGTAGTGGTCTATACATCCATCCTGAAAAGTTGCATGGCTCCTGCCTAACTCACACACTCACTCTTTATTCCCAAATGAGTGTAAATGCCTCGCTACTTATGCTTCCCAGTGACGAACTTTAGATTAGAAGCACTTTGAGGAAGGGACCTTTTTCTTGTTTCTGTTGCAAAGTACTTTATATATGGATGACAATGCAAAAAGGAGGTGGTTAGATCCAGTTGTGGGCCTGCTTACAGACCTGCTGAAGGTGAAGTCTTACTGTTTTCAGTTGGTTGTGCTCAGGCAGGATTAAGTCTGGATTCAAACAAAATTTTTTCTCAGTTCATAGAAGGCATTTCCCATTTATAGCAAGAACCTTCCACTGCATTTATCTAAGACACCAATAAGTGGTTATGTAAATTTGGATCCAATCAACTATTGACTTATTATTGCTCTTGTCATCGGTGTTGTCTTGAATTTTGAAAGTTTTGGACTTGACACATGGTTTAGACTATTAGGGTATTCAGTGTTATTTATTCAAATAGCCCACGTGCTTATTTGAATAGCCCACATTCTTTGTGTGGTGGGCTTATCACCAATTCATCAAATTAATCCTCCTCTCCCCATGCTTGCAGTGCCAAGTAATATATTTTTTCCTTGATTAACATAAGCATACTGTGGAGTGGAGATGAAACCCCTGCAGCCTTGAACACCCATTGGCCTACTCAAGCTGCTCTGTGACTGAAGGATTAGCTTTAAGCTATCTGGAATTGTAGAGAGCATATTCCCAAAACTCTTGGGATCTGCATACCCAATGCCCAGATTTTAAGAGGGGTTGGAGTAGGTGAGGGTACATTCTTATCAAACTCAAAATTGTGATTCACATCCAATAGAAATCAACTCA